AAAAAAAAAAAAAAAAAAAAAAAAAGAATGACATATTGGAAGTGCTGGGGAAAAAATACCTGATGACTAAGAATTCTTTTTCTTTTTTTTTTGAGATGGAGGAGTCTCGCTTTCTCTCCCAGGCTGGAGTGCAGTGGTGCAATCTTGGCTCGCTGCAACCTCTGCCCGCCAGATTCAAGCATTCTCCTGCCTCAGCCTCCCGAGTAGCTGGGCTTACAGGTGCACGCCACCATGCCTGGCTAATTTTTTGTATTTTTAGTAGAGTCAGGGTTTCACCATCTTGGCCAGGTTGGTCTTGAACTGTTGATCTCATGATCCACTCGCCTCAGCCTCCTACAGTGCTGGGATTACAGGCATGAGCCACCGCACCCGGCCCTACTGTCAGGCTTTTATTATCCAAGAGCTCTTTTGTTTTTTAATAGCATCTCTGTACTTGTTTCATCTTCTGTCATCTCTTTTAGAGAATTCATGGTAGTTTTTTAGCTTGGTTTTAGTTTTCTTGAAGTTGCTTCTATTTCTTTTGATCTTTTCTGTGTTACAGGCTGTCTTCACATCTCTAGTAATCTTTGGTTGTCTGTTTGTGATCAAGAATGGGAGGATTAAAAAGCTATTTGGAAGCTCTGAGTGCAAAGACTTTGATTTTTTTTTTTTTTTTGACAGAGTTTCATTCTTGTTGCCCAGGCTGGAGTGCAATGGCGTGTCGGCTAACCTCAACCTCTGCCTCCCGAGTTCATGCGATTCTCCTGCCTCAGCCTCCCAAGTACCTGCAATTACAGGCATGCACCACCACACGTAGCTGATTTTGTATTTATTTTTAGTAGAGATGGGGTTTTTCCATGTTGGTCAGGCTGGTCTTGAACTTCCAACCTCAGGTGATCTGCCCACTTCGGCTTCTCAAAGTGCTGGGATTACAGGTGTGAGCCACCGTGCTTGACATCACTGCTTTTAGGAAAGCCTCGAGACTGGTCACATTGCCCAGAGGAGCGTTTCCTAGTCTGCTTAGGAGGAAAGTTATCTGGGAGCTGGCTGGGGAAAGGGGAGGCTGGGGGGTCTCAGCAGTCACTTAATCTTTCTCTTTTTGGTGCACACCATTTCCCTCCACTGAGCTGACCAGGCCGTATTCTAGAGATCCTTTTGTTTTACAGTCTTCAAACAACTCACCTCTGAGGATGGGGAGGGAATCTGGGATTTAACTCATTGGAAACCAGATTTTACCCAGTTGTCCTCATTTTAATGTTTTGTAACTCCAGTTCTCAAGGGGCCCAGCACCACAGTGCCTGCTCTGTTCTGTGCTTTCCTGGTGCCTGGCTTAGGTGTCAGCCTTCTCTTGGTCTGCCAGTGAGGTGTTGTTCGGACATCTGCTTTCCAGCCTCCAAGGCGTGATTGCTATAGTCTCTTGTTCTTTCTCTTCTGATGTTTTTGTTGTTTAGAGGGGTTTTATTTGTTGTTTGTTTGGTTTTTATGTTCTTTAGTTTTAGTGAGGTTTCAGGAAAGAGTCAAATAAGATGAATTTGTTCAGTTCATCCTTAGCCTTGAAAAGTTCTGGGAAATTTTCTTGGTTATTTGATTTCTTCTCTATTTTGTGCTTTGTCTCTTGGATGGAAATTTTAATTTTCTTTTCTTTCCAATGTATCCTTTTTAAAAAATTTTTTCTAGATGGTTTCTTCAACTTTGTCTTCTAACATTTATTTATTTTTTTGGGGTCTTTTTCCCCCCTTTTTTCTGTGTGTGTGTGTTTTTTTAAATATCTGCTAAATTTTTTTCTTTTTGAGATGGAGTCTTACTCTGTGACCCAGGCTGGAATGCAGTGGCACCACCTTGGCCCACTGCAACCTCCACTTCCTGGGTTCAAGTGATTCTCCTGTTTTAGCCTCCTGAGTAGCTGGGATTACAGGCATGCGCCACCATACCCAGCTAATTTTTGTATTTTTAGTAGAGATGGGGTTTCACCATGTTGGCCAGGCTGGTCTTGAACTCCTGACCTCAGGTGATCCGCCTCCTTGAGCCTCCCAAAGTGCTTGGATTACAGGTGTGAGCCACCATGCCCAGCTTAAGATTTTTTTTTCTTGTTTTCTTTTTTTGATAAAAGAATTCAGAAGGACCAGCCTAAGAATTTTAGTTTGTAAAAGTTTTTGTCACTCAGGTTGGAGTGTAGTGGCATGATCATAGCTCATTGTAGCTTCATTTTTCTGTGGTCCTCTTGGTTTAACTTTTCCAAGCATCAGGTTTTGTCTTTTGCTGGGTGGGGAAAGGTCAGGCCATCTGTACAGGGTGGGAGCAGGGGCCTGCATATCTTGACAGACTTCAACTCCTATTTTCATCTCCAGCTTCACTCTCATTCTGAGGTCTGGCATCTCCAATTCCTGAGTCTTTCTGGGGTCCTGTAGTCTGGTTCCAGGTTTTTCTCACTGAAGGCTTAGGTTTTGGCCATGTGATCTGCTTGGGCGATAATCAGTAACCCATCTGCTTTCTAGCATTCAATGTCCCCTGCCCTGTTATTCCTGAATAACATCCAATTTTTACTTAATTTGCTTTGCTGTTCATTTTGTGTGCTTTCTCCTTGTAGGTTTATACCTTTTCAAATATATTTCCTGTAACTTTAGAAGTGTTTTTGGGAGGGAAGGACAAAAACTCTATGTGCTATGTACACAATTGAAAATTCCCATATAAAGTAGGTTTGTGAGTTATTTTTCTGCCAAATATGTAGAGGGTGTGTTTTCTGTCTAATGTAGATCATCTTATTTGGCTGCCTTGAATTCCTGTGTATAGATGAATTTTCTAAAGTTATACCCAAACTTCCCCTTCATGAGACTGGTGACATTTAGATTTTCTCTTAATCTATTTGGAGGCAACACAGTATGGTAGGTGAGCATGTGAGTGTTGGGATCAGACCATTTGGGTTTAAATCCTGGCCCTGCCACTTGAATTAGGATCTTGAGAAAGTCAGCCTCTTTGAGCCCCAGTTTTTTCCTGTGTGTAAAATGGGCCAGTTGTTCAAATGTTATCACTCGTAAAAAGCTAATAAAGGGCCAGCAAACTTTTCTGTAAAGGGCCAGATGCATTTTGGGTTTACAGCTCCTGTTGCAGCTATTCAACTCTGCATGAAAATGACCATAGACGACATATAAGTGAATGGGTCTGACTGTATTCCAATAAAACTATTTACACCAATAGGCAGTGTATTGGATGCTTGTGGGCTACAGCATGCAGAACCCTGAATTAATACATGATTATTCTTTGCTTAATGCCCAGTAGTAGGTGCGCAATAATTTCACTTTAAATTTTACCATACAGGCTTAAACCTAAGGCAGTCTTTTTTTTTTTTTTTTTTTTTTTTTTTTTTGGTTTTTTTTTTTTTCCTTTTTTTTTTGTTTTTTTTTTTTTTTTTTTTTTTTTTTGAGATGGAGTCTTGCTCTATCACCCAGGCTAGAGGGTAGTGGCTCACTGCAACTTCTGCCTTCCAGTTTCAAGTGATTCTCGTATCTCGGCCTCCTGAGCAG